TGTAAACTCTCAGAAATAAACTGCTTCTATGAAAAGTAGGTTTAGATTTTTAAAACTGTTTACTGTGCTGTTACCGTTACTTCTGCTCAACGGGTTACTGTTAGTCCATATATAACAATTTTGAAATTTCTGCACTTTTATGCTAAAGAAAACGAAGATACAGATAAATTTTTTACTGGGCAAATAGAAATAACCGACGTTAAAAGATCGCAGTATTGTCATTGCGAAATAATACCAATTATTAAAACTGTTGACTGTTGAAAGTTTTTTTGATTAAAATAAAGAAAAAAGTTATTGTATTCAACAACGCTTAAGGTGAAGAATCTTTAAGCTTATTTAGCTGAAATTTGTACTACATAATTTCAAAATTTTCCAGATAACAAAAAAAAAAAAAAAGACTTTTTATACATAGATTTGTGGCCACTTGGGTATCCGTTCATACAATGACTGTCTTTAATCATATTGACTCTTCTTCTTCCGTACGACAGCGTTATGCTTCACAACCAAAGATGCCGTGAATTCTCATAATGAAAAAACCAACAAAAGCAAATGGCTTTTCGACATCAAATTACAGTGGCATTGATTTTTTATTTCTAACCATTTACTACGGCAATAATATAAAATAATTTATTTACTAAATCTGTGCTATACTAAAATACAGTTAATAAAGGTAATTTATAAGTACAAAATTAAAAGAGTAAATGATGCAGAAAAAGTTATTTGAAGAAAAAAGAAAAGTAAAGAAGGCTTATCATAATGATAGTCAATACCAATGAGACAGCTAAGGTATGCAGATGATCAGCAACGACTAACAACACCCGATCAGTGTTTTGGCTAAATATTTGTTTATTTTTTGGTCACTCAAGATAGCTGCTCAATATTTTTGCCTTTACATAGCCGAGCCGATACAATAAAGTTTGCTTACCGCTGTTTATTTGCTTCTCAATCCATCCATTCATCCATTCATCTATTTAGCTTCTTTTATCTTTCTTATTTTTTCATTAAACTTCACTTAAACTCGTCAATTGTCTAAAAAAAAAATAAAAATAAAAATCTGCAACCGTCTTTCTAATGCAGTCTTGCATGTCTTTCTTTTACCTTCATCTTTCTTCATGTGTCCTTTGCTGTTTTAATGGTACAAAACGCACAAAAGTTTTTCTTC